CCTTTCTGGGACAACCCTGAAAGACATGGGTAAAGGGAAATCTTCACTGTGGGTAGAACACATGACCATATATTTTACTTTAAGAGACATGGCCAGATGTGCAATTATTTACTGATTCATGAGCTGTAGTCAACAGACTGGCTGGATGGCCAGGGACTTGGAAAAAGCATGATTAGATGTGAGAAAGACATCTTCGGAAGGAGTATACTGGCAGATCTCTCCAAATAAGCAAAGGATATGAAAATTCTTATTTCCTATGTAAATGCTCATCAAAAGGTGACTTCATACAAAGTAAATAAACCGTAATTAATAAAAATTAAAAAATGTATTAAAAAAGAAAAAAGGTGACTTCAGCTAAGGAGTTCAATAATCAAGTAGATAAGATGACCCATTCTGTGAACAGTGAGCCTTCACCCAGCAATGCCCAACTCCTAGCCTTGTCATTGCCCAATGGGCCCAGGAACAAAGTAGCCAAGGTGGCAGAGAGGGAAGTTATTCATGGGCTTGACAACACGAACTTCCACTCACTGCTGACCTGGCTACAGCTGCTGCTCACCCATAAGGCACCATTTCTGGTACCAGCCAGCAATCTGGTGGCAAGTTGGCTCCATCAGACCACTTTATGAAAAGGCAAACACTTGTCCTTACTGGAGTAGTCATTTAGTCGCTTCTAACAAAAGGACTATCCATGGACTTTCAGAACACTTTATCTGTAAAGTTTTAAACCTGGGACAAGCAGCTGAGGTGCCTATTTAACCGAGTCTCCAGCACCTCTCAGTCCCTGCCTGTTACAGGGATGGCCGAGAAGGCCTTCCTCCAGAGGCTCTTCCCAAAATCCAGACATTCTGGTTACCTGTCCCCTTTCATATACATTAAAATAAAAATTAAAGTAACAGAGGGCCAGAAGGTAATGACCCCTGCTGCCAAGCCTAATAACCTGAGATTAATCCTTAGGACTTAGACAGTAGAAAAGTAGATTATGGCAGAATACACTCTGAATTCCACATGTGATCTATGGTGCGTCCCACATGAAAAAAAAGTAATAATTTTTTTCTTTTTTAAGAGAAGGTTTTTCTGTATAACCACCCTAGCTGTCCTGGAACTCACTTTGTAGACCAGGCTGGCGAGCCTCAAAGTCACAAGAGATCTTCCTTTCTCTGCCTCTTGAGTGCTGGGACTAAAGGTTAGTACTAACATACCCAGCTTGAACAATGTAATACATTTTAAAAAATAAAACCACAACTTGCCAGCCATTATGGCGCATGCTTTTAATCTCATCTTTGGGGAGAGGCAAGAGGGACTTGGTGAGTTCCAAGCATAATAAGACTGTCTGAAAATAAGACACAATAAAATAAAGAGCCATTTTTAGTAAATCAGCTCAAAACCAGGCACATAAAAATTACTATTCACAAAGCATAAATATTTAGATGTAAAGTGACACATGAAAAAAATAATGCTGTAATCTGTAGGACATAGTAGTTCCTGCCTATGCCCTAAGTCCTTGAGAAGCTGAGAGAGAACTCTCTGGCATATGCCCTACATAGTTGCAGGCCAATCTGGGTACCAAGTGTGACCCTATTTCAAAAACTACAAACAGGGTAACGTGTCTTAGCAGGTGAACGTGCTTGCCATCAAGTCTGACAACTCGAGTTCCACCCCCAGAATGTACATGGTGGAAGGAAAAAGCAACTCTTCCAACTTGTCCTCTGACCTCCACATGTGTGCTATGTCTCACATTTGTGCACACACACACAAAAGCAAAAAAAACAACAAAAAGCTATACTATCCTACTGATCAGTTATCCTAAATCTATACATTCCTTGATCTGAGATTAGCAGGGAAGCCAAGAATGAAGGTCATGGCTAAAATATAATGCAAACAGCACCCTTGTGTATACTACTCAAATTCCCATTTACATGCCCACTCACTTCCTCCCAACAGTCTTACAACCTAAAGAAATCCACTGATATAGGGGAAACCATCACTATACAAAACATCTTTACCAGTTTTAATTTTACAGATATATTTAAAAAGCCGGAAGTGTGGTGGCTGGTGCAGCCTTTAATCCCAGCATTCAGGAGACAGAAGCAGGAGGCTCTTGGTGAGTTAGGGACGAGCCTGGTCAATGTCGTGAGACCTCATCTCAAAAGTAAGTAAATAAGGAGCAGGAGAGATAGTTAAAAGCTCAAGAGGGAAAAGCTCTTGCTGCTCTCTCCTGGGTTCAATTCCCAGCATCCACATGGCAGCTCACAATCATGTGAGCTCCCTAACTCCAGTTTCAGGAGGTTCAATGCCCTCTACTGGCCTCCACAGCCACTAGGCTTGCAAGTGGTACACAGACATAGTCGCTAGCAAAGATACACATTAAAAAATAAAGGGCCAGGTGTGGTGGCCAATGCTTGCAACCCCAGCACTCAGGAAGCTGGGGCAGGAAGACCAATCTGAAGCTCTCAGTGTGGCTCAGTGGACAAAGGTGATTGTCACCAAGCATGACCTAACTCTGATATCAGCCCACAGAATAGAACTGACTTCCACAAGTTGTCTGACCACTGTACTTGCACCAAGGCACTTAGGCACATACACCCACATACACATTCTTTCATTCCCCTGCCGTGCCTCCCACATGCAAAAAGACCAATTTGGGCTATAATGAGACCATGTCTCAAAACCAAAACAAAAGAAATAACAAACAAAAATCAAGAAAGAAAGGAAAAGAACTGGTGAACTGGCTTTACTCTAGGATTTGGGAGAAAAAAAAAAGTAGTAAAGTTTTCAGATTAAAAGTGAGCTTCAACTTTGCTACTCCATCAAGCCTCACCTGTTAGTAAGAGAGAAGTCCAGGTCCACAAAAAGGAGAAAAAAAAAAAATCCAAATGATCATAATTAAATTAGCACTTCTCTTTTCCGTCTCCAATCTGGGACTGGTGACGTGGCTCAGAAGGTAAAGTACTTGCTCAGCATGCACAAAGCTCTAGGCTTGATCTCCAGCACTACATAAATCTGGGTGAGGTAAAATTGCATGTAAGTGGAGGCAGGAGGATCACAAGTTCAAGGTCATGCCCAGCTACAAAGTGAGTTTAAGATTATCCTGGGCAACATGAGACCCTATCTTAAAAAGTAAAGAGCTGGGTGGTGGTGGCGCATGGCTTTGATCCCAGAACTTGGGAGGCTGAGGCAGGGGGATCTCTGTGAGCTAGAGGCCAACCTGGTCTACAGAGAGTTTTCTAGGACAGCCAGGGCTACATGAAGAAACTCTCAAAAAAAACAAAGATTAGATAGATAGATAGATAGATAGATAGATAGATAGATAGATAGATAGATAGACAGACAGACAGGATAGGATAAAAATTATCACGAGGGCTCAACAGAAAAGGCTGCTTGCCACCACGTCTGCTGACTTGAGTTTGAGCCCCAGAATCTACATGACGGAGATCTAACTCCCTCAAGTTGTCCTCTGACTTCCATGAGTACAAACATACACAAAGTAAATAAAATATGATTATTCTGGTCTGAAAAGGAGCCACTGGAAGTAAAGGAGATGTTCATAGTAAGGTGAGCACTGCCGCACAATCTTGCCCTTCGACCCAGCAGCCATCCACAGTGTTTCGAACCATCCAAAGGCGAAAGTGTCATGGCCTTGAGAACATGGTTTTGGCTGATATGGGGAGGACCACCACTTTACAGAACTTGCCATTTTGTCTTTTGAGTGTGTGTGTTTTAGGATGTGCACACAGAAGCTGGAGGACAACCCCAGGTGTCATTGCTCAGGTGCCATCACTTTACTTCTCTATATACTGGGCCTCTCACCAACCTAGGCCTCACCAATTCTGCTAAGCCGGCTAGCCAGTAAGCCTCCACAGATCCAGCTGTCTCTGCCTCTCTAGTGCTGAGTCTACCATGCCCAGCTTTCTTACATAAATTCTGGGGACCAAACCTAGGCCCTCATGCTTACATGACAAGCACTTTACCAACTGAATTATCTCTCCAGCCCTCTACTGTTGTTGTTTTTAAGTATTTTAAGTACATGGGTGTTTCATCTGCGTAACAGAAGAGGGCATCAGATCTCATGGGACTACAGTTAATGACAGTTGTGAGCTACCATGTAGGTGCTGGGAATTGAACTCAGGACCTCTGAAAGTGCCACCAGTGTTCTAACTGCTGAGCCATCTCTCAGCCTTTATTGTGGTTTTTAACTGCTATTTTTCAACTAAAGAATCTTACTTATTGCCATGCATAGTGGCATATGCCTGCAGTCCTTGCACTTAGGTGGCAGAGGTAGAAGGATCACCTCAAGTTTGAGGCCAATCAGGTTTACTTAGTGAGTTCCAGGTTGGCCAGGGCCACATAACAAAATCCTGTCTCCAAGAAATGCAAGACAAAGGTTTCACTATTACCATCAGGTCTCAATAGTTTGGATTTCTTCCAGATTTACTAGAGCAGATGGCATATAATTTAACTCCTTTTATTTCAAACTATCCAAGAAGCAGTGTTGCCTCTGAAAACATTACCTGAACACCACATTCAAATACTCCCATACTAGAGTCTCATCACTCAAAACACTCCACTGGACACTAAGAATGGGAAACTTCCTGATCTTGGCTTTGCTTGTTTCTGTAAGCTCCACCATAAAGACTACATTAGTAATCAGGGTCCTTGGGTTTCCACAGCAGAATAAACTTCTCTGACAAAATGCATCCCCATTCAGTGGTTCCACCTGAGCATTTCGCATTTTCTTCCTGTTGAGTACCAGTGGCAATGAAAAGTAACAAAGGTCCAGTGACAACTTTTTACACATACACAAAATCTTCCTGGGTACCATAGGAAACAGTAAGAAAAGGCCTCCCCACCCCACCCCACACACAGCAAACAGCAATACCACTAGTATTGATTACTTAAATAATTTTGTCATACTGTTAAGGAAAAAAAAAGAAAGGAAGAAAGAAAAACCATTTGACTATGATCCCATCTCCTCCCAGATCATTAAACCAAGATTGTCTTACCCTCTCTCTCTCTTCCTCCTGTCGTCTTATTCCTTCTCCTTTCCAGGGCTCCTGAACTTTCTGGAAACAAATTGTCTAGGTTACAAAGGCCAGTAAGGAGAGACCACCAGAGAACTGTGGAGAACCTCGGAAGTTCTTTGACTGTCAGCAATCTGGAAAGCAGGCAGCTTCCCCAACCAACAATCCAAGGATGAGAGGACAGAGTCACACAGGCGGTCAGCGCCACCCACTATGAATATATAAGGGAAATAAAGGCAGTTCCCCAAAACTAAGATGAATTCTATCACCAGCATTTGTGTTCCACTCTTAGGCCCAGACACTAATTCTTCATTCCCCAGGGCTACAAGTAACCAGGAGTCAAGAGAATGGAAGCAATGAAAGAGGGTTCCTCCTCCTGAGAAGTGGCTTTAGAAAGCAAAGCTGGGGATTGGGGGGGGGGGGGGGGAGACCCACCCCCCCTTGTGAGCCACCCAGCGCCCCGCGCGCCCCCCCCCCCCCCCCCCCACCCCCCCCCCCCCCCCCCCCCGTCCCCACTTAAGCTAGGACTTCGCCCCCTGCCTACCCAAGGCCTTGTGCCAAGAAGTACCTCCTTCAACCTTCAGTGGGCTATATATTGGAGACTCCCAGCTGTCCCCCTAAGACCTTCACTCCCCTGAAACACCCAACCGGGTCCTTCCTCCCGGTGTCAACTCCCACTCCTTCCTCAAAGACCGGTCTTTGGGACGCCCCTCCTTCACCCCTCCAGGGAGCTGAACTCTGCCACCCACCAGACAGGCACCCGCCCCCTAAACCCCCCCATTCCTCCTCAGCGCCCGCTCCTCCACAACCACTTCCGGTTCCGGGACAGACACACTTACAGTCCCATCGTGGACCCCCCCCCCCTCCCCGCTCGCCCAAGGAAAAGGGGAGGGGGGAGGAGCAAGAAGCTTGGCGCGCACCGACCGCAGCGGCGCGAGACTCACCAGGCGGCGGCGGCGGCGCCAGAGCCAGCGCACGGGAGGGGCGGCGTTTGCAGGGAAAGGAGGGAGCCGAGGGAGGGGGAGGGCCCGCAGGGCGCGGGATGGGGGACGCAAGGCGGGGCGCGCGGGCATGCACCGCAAGCGCGAGACGGACCCCCACACTCGCACGGGCTGCGCGCGAGACACCAGCAGGGCGGGGGCGCGTGGCAGCGTGTGGCCCCCCGCCCTCCCTCCTAAACACTCACCCGGAAGTGGTGCTGCGGCTCGTGCTCCCGGGAACCCCAATTCCTCCACGCCCACTTTTCTCTCCCCCACCCCCTCCCCAACAGTCTCAGTGAGAAGTCGTTCCGCGGAGAAGGCGGGAGAACCGGAAACGAAAAGGGGGGGGGGGAACTGGCGATGGGAGGGCGGCAGCAGGAAAGGGGGGGGGAGAAGAGTTCAGAGTCCGAGTCACTTCCGGGAGTGGCTAGAACACATCCGGCGCCGTGAGGGCTCGGGTGTAATCCGTGCTGAAGTTACGACAAGTAAGGGCGGAAGTGGCTCCTACCCAGGGACCTGTAGGGCGATTGGTGGATGTGTCGCCCTAACGGAAACGAAGGCAGGTTCTTTTCAGGGCTGAAGCTGATCATTCGCAGAGTGCTTCCGGGCTTCCGGAAGAGACTTCTGGGGAAGTGGGAGGATGGAAGCTGGACAGGTTCATGAATTATGCATCAAGACACTGAAGACAGTTTAGATTTCCCTCCTTCTTCTAGATTTATTTTACTTTTATATGTATCTATTTCTGTAAATGCTTGCCATGTGTGTGCAGATGCCCTCAGCAGCCCACAGGCGTTACAGACAGTTTGGAGCTTTCCTGCTGGGAACCGAACCTCCGGTCCTCCGGAAGAGCAGCAAACACTCCTTAGGGCTGAGCCAGCTCTTAAGCCCCATAGAGACGGTACGGATTCTTAAAAGATGGGTCATGCATGGCTCATTTCTGAGTGGATGAGGCTGTTGTAGGGAAATAACCTTCTTCTCCTCCTCCTTCTTTTCTTCTTCATCTTCCTTGCTGAGCTAGTGTGGAAACAGCCCCATTTCTTTGAATACCAAGAAAAGGTAAGAATGTGGCCATAGTTGTTTGAGGTCCCGGCATAAGCGCTATCAAAATTCAACTGGTCTTCCTGTGACCACACCGTTATTCCTTTTACTGTGGTCTTTTTCTCGTAGCCTCCACCCTCATCTCTATCTTCTTACTGGGTTTTACTTTTAAATACAACACTCAGCGTACCTGATTTATAGTTCACCTCTTCGCAGCCCCTTAAGGGCAAGAACTTTGAATTGCTCCCAATGGTATTAACAGGCTCTAGAATTTATTAAGCATTCCAGTAAACATTTGTTGCATAAAAGAACACCTCATTATGAATTATTGCAGGAAATCTTTCCTGGATTGCTTCAACCCAACGTTTCTTTAAAAATTCCATAGCATTTACTGTGTCTTTATTCTTTTTTTTTTTAAGACAGGGTTTCTCTGCGTAGCCCTGGATGTCCTGGAACTCACTCTGTAGATCAGGCTGGCCTTGAACTCAGAGACTCAACCACTTCTGCCTCCCAAGTGGTGGGAGGCATGCAGCCTCCACTGTCCAGCTATGTCTTTGAGACAGTATCTTACATAGGTATAACTAAAGCTGGCCTTGAATCCTTGGTCCACTTTCCTCCACCTCCTAAATGATTGGTTTTGAGCATCTCTTAGTCTATAGCGTTTACTGTTAATTTTAATTAATTTTTTAAAGTTTATTTGTACATATACAATGTTCTGACTGCATATACACCTACAGGTCAGAAGAGGGCATGGGATCTCATCATAGATGGTTGCGAGCCACCGTGTGGTTGTTGGGAATTGAACTCAGGACCTCTGGAAGAGCAGTCGGTGCTCTTAACCTCTGAGCCATCTCTTCACCACCAATTTTAATTAATTTGTACACCTGAATCCCTAGTAAGATTGTCAGGGAAGAAACTGTCCACACTAGATACTGAAATAATATATGTGTAAAGCCACAGAAGCTGCCCTTATAGAGGAGCTCAGTTTCCTTCTGTCCTATCTTGCACCTTCCCTACATTGCTAGCATGTAATGGCCTCAAGGTAGGATGGGATAATGGGGCTAACTCCTAACTGCCTGCTTTGTATCCCATGTGCTACCTTCACTAATGTGCTAGGTTCTGAGACCCCCTACTCTCTGAAGACTATAAATGTAAGCGATTTCCTCCTATGCCAGCTGCCTCTGCTTCAAGTGGCTGGTGTGCCTAAGGGACCTGGTTACCAGAAACCCATCTCGGTACCAAACCTGGAAAGAATCTTTTTTATTTAAAGTAATATATTTATTTAGTAAATATATATAGCCACAAGGCTGCACAGCATGATTTAGGTAGACTCTCTCTGTTTTGGCTAAGACAAAATTGAGTTCCCAGGGCTGAAGAGATGGCTTGGAGGTTTAGAGCACTGATTGCTCTTCCAAGGGTCCTGAGTTCAATTCCCAGCAACCACACAGTGGCTCATAATCATCTGTACTAAGATACCCTGGTACCCTCTTCTGGTGTACGGGTGTACACACAGGCAGAACACTGTATAATAGATAGATAGATAGATAGATAGATAGATAGATAGATAGATAGATAATTGAGTTCCCTTACCGAGAAAGCAAAATTACTCTAACAAAGAACTATGATCTTATTCTACAGATAATTAAAGGAGGACCGTCTAGGTCACATCCAGGAATAGCAAAAGATACCTTTGTATATTAGTTAGCCTGGTACTCACTGTGTAGATCAGGCTGGCCACAAACTAGGATAACTTTGAACTTCCAGTCCTACTACTTCCATCTCCCTCCTCAGTGCTGGACTATAGACAGGAGCCACCATACTTTTGTTTGATTCAATTTTGATTTTTGTGGGTATGTGGAGGAAGCTATAGGTCATTATCAGAAGTCGTCCTAAATTACTGTGCTCATTTTTTTTTTTTTCTTTTGAGCTCAGGTCTTAGACTGAACATAAAGCTCAATTCAACTACATCAACTGGCCATCAAGCCCCAAGATTCTTCCTGCTACCTCAATGCTGGAGTTATAAATGTGAGCCATCATGGCTAATATTTTCATGTGGGTGCTGGGGATCAGGTCCAGATCCCCATCCTTACATGGAAAGCATTTTATAGACTCATCTGTCTTCCCTGAATTGTTTTGTTTTGTTCTGATTTTTGGTATTTTGAGATGGTCTCACAGAGGCCAGATGAATCTCAAACTTAGAACATAGCTAAGATAGCCTTGAATGCCTCTTCCTCCATTTCTGTCACCAGTACACTGGAATTACAGGCATAAGCTACCATGCAAAGTGTCTCTTCCTTTTTATTACATTTTTGGGCCCAGCACTGAGTCTGTGTTGATTTCACTGGCAAATTAGGATAAGGGCCTAAGTACCTGTAATCCCAGCACTCAAGAAGCTGGGACAGGATTAAGAGCCTGGGTGAGAGACATTTTGCTTCCGAAAGAAGAAATAGAAGGAGGTAAAAGGAAAAGAAGGAAGAAGGGAGGAATAAGAGGAAATAAATATGGGAGAAAAGTAGTAATTCCCCGAAGTCCTGGTTCCCCAGCTCTGCCTCCTGTATGCATTCATCAACCACTTTCTGAATCCCATGCCTCTGGCAGCCCTCCTCCTGCCTTTACTATAAGAAGCAACTTTTAAGTCCCTAGAACAAAGCTTTAGGGGACATAGCGGGGCAGAGGGCTGTTAATTTTAGCCTGGGGTTCTCCAGCTGGCACAGTTTCCATCTTGAATCATTTCCACACCCTCAGCTCTGCTCCTCCTCCTGGGGGGCCTTCCCATCCCCTGATTTGGTCTGCCACACGGTAAGCATTCCAGAAATTGCCCGGGAGAACCTTGGCTGAGTCATCTGATGCACTTCCTCAACAAAGAGAGTTTGGTGATGGCAGATGCTGCCTCCAGTCAGGCTTGTGAGTTGTGGTTCCCAAGAAACTTTCAGTTCTCAAAAGAACAGCTTTTGGTCCTGGTTGCTTTCTCCTCTATAACCCTGTTACCTGAACCCCCAAGTCACTGCTTGAGTTTTAGGAAAGAGGAAAATTAAGGTCTGTTTCTCAGGACCCATGCGTTGTCATGGTTAGCAAGACACTGACCCAGTCTGGCATAATTCCTCTAGGCAATCCAGACATCCAGATTGTCTCCTTCCTCCCATCTTTCTGTCCATCTGCCTTTCCATGGGGGAGAGGGCATTTGGGGAAAGGGAACAGGTGAGATTTCCAGTGTCTTGCTGGTGTGTCTAATTTATTTAAATTTAGGAGAACTGCAGTCTAATCAGATGGCAATTAATTCCTCGTTCATTAGGGGACTTCATGTGTGCCTTTTGCATATGGATGAGCCACAGGGTCACACTGTCCCTCTAAAGAGGGCGTTGTTGAAGGTGAGAGAGCCCAGGGAGCCCTCCAATCACGAGTTCCCTGTCCTTCCACAACCAGGGCTCTTTCATTCCTGCTCTGGCAAGGACTCCAGCCCTGTAGGGAAATCTGGAAAGGTTAAGGAGGCGTCTTCCCTCACCTTCCGCAGAGCCCTTCCCTACCACAGCCTATTGGCACCCTGCCCCTTCCGTTCCCTCCCAGCCTTCTCCCTTTTTCCCACTACCTCTGGAATCTTTGGGAGCACCGCACTCAGAAGGCCTGTTTGCCTCACACTGCTGCTGGATGGTTCATTACTTTGGCTGCTTTCCTCTGGAGCAAGTCTGTCCTAAACGCTTCTCTTGTCCTGAGAAATACATTCCTTTCTCCCCACACTCATGTGCTTTAGAGGCTCAGCCACACCTCCCCTCAATATACAGTACAGCTCCCCAGCCTCTTAAACACACCTACCAACACACGCATAAAAGTATATAAATGTATCATATATTTATATGTGTGTGTGTGTGTGTGTATATATATATATAATAGTCATTCCTATTTATAGCATCAAAGATAAAACACTTGGAGGCAGGTACATCCTAGGCAGCCCACACTGCCCTCTTGTCTCCTGCTTCCCTGGGGCTACCCATTTCCAGAAAGCAGGTGAGCCACAGATGGGGGTGGGGGTGGGGGGACACTGGATGCAAGACCTAGGTGTTACCACAGCAACAGAGCCTAGCAACAGCTGAGAAACTGATGTGTGGGCTTTACTAGGGCTGTTAAAGAGCCAAACCTAGAATTGGGACCTCAGAGGTGATTGATCCCAGCTGGGCAGCCTGTGTTCCCTTCTAGACACACCCCTTGATTCCACCCCCACACCCTAGCAAGTGGGAAGAACTAATGAGCGAGCCATAGAGCCTCTGGTGCAGCATAGCTTTTGGCGGGCAGTTGTGGGTGGGGGCATGTTGAGGAGCAAGGATGAAAATAAACCAAGCAGAGCACCCTCTCTCCTGTGCCTCACTCATCCTTTTTTGTTTGCTTTCTCTCCTTCTGACCCTTTATCCTCTTCCTTAGCTGTTTTGCCTAGGGTGGTGACTCATGCCTGTAATCCCAGCACTCAGGAGGCCAAGGTGGGAGAATCTCGCTTTGGCCAGCCTGGACTACAGGGTGAGAGAGCCCCCATCTCCAGTCAATCGGTTGCTTTTCTGTCTTGTCCCATTGTCTGTCCTAAGAAATGTCCCCCTTCTCTCTGTCTTTTCTCTTGGTTTCTCTTGACCCTTAGGAGTAAGGAACAAGCAAGCAAGCCACAGTTCAGATTCTAGTTCCTCTTCTGCAGAGCTCTTCCTCCTCCAGTTCCGCCCTCCAGTCCCTTTCTTCATCCTGTCCTAAGTTAAGTCATCCATCAGTCTCCAGCTTCAGATAGAGCAGGCAGGGGACAGTCCAGTCTGAAGAGGTTTCCAAGAGGTTTCCATTTCCCTTCTTTTCCATTCTTCGTCCTGCCCATCCTCCTTGTGTATGTGCGTGTGTGTGTGTGTGTGTGTGTGTGTGTGTGTGTGTGTGTGTGTAGCAGTTATAAGGCAAAACAAGGAACTAGATTATCTTGCAAAGGCTTTATTTGAAAATTCTGAAACTTACATCCCACAAGATTATCACCACAAGAAGAAAGAGATAATACAAAAATATATATCACAGCATAGGAGCCAGGTAAGAGGAGGAAGGAAGGTGGAAAGACCAAGGAGAGAGGGAAGAACCTGAGGAGAGGAAAAGGGTAAGAAGCAGGAGAGGGAAAAAGGGACAACATGAGAGGGCCCAGGAAGAGAAGGGTATATGTGGAGGCAGAGCTCCCAATGGCCTTGAACCAGCTGGCTTCAGTTCCTGGCAGCCTAGGTACATTTTAGGGAGGCCGTAGGGGAGGATGGGGAGTAGAGGCCTGTTCAAGGGCCTCTGAATTCCACAGAGACACACACACACACAGACAGCCAGGACAGACAAGACAAGGGACTTAGTTAGGAGGGAAGAGAGGGCATGAGAGTCCCTTCTCATGGAGTGCAGCAGGTGACTCCCCCCAAACCCATATTTCAGGTGACAGAATTTAACAACTGGGCCTCACTACCCCCTGTGGGGGAGCCCTCAGTAATGCCAGCATCCTGGGAGTGGGATGGAAGGACAGTGAAACATAAGACATGGAATAAGATGGGGCCATGACAGATGGCGCAAGGCGCTCCTAGCTCACCTCCCACCCACCTCTAGGGCAGCATGCAAGGGCCACAGAAACTAGACCAGTGGGTGTTGATGAGGCAGAGTGGGCACACTATGCCATATACTAGGGCCAGGAATGCATATCCCCAGTCTGCGATGGGCACAGAGAATGTAAAGGGGGCAGGACATGTGCAACAGGAGAGAGGGAGAGAGCTAGGAGCCAGCTGAGCAGACATGGATGGGGACATGGAGCAGAAGAGCAGCATGAGGATCATGTCTGTGTGCTATGGCCTGTGAGGGTGTAGGTGAATGTGCAAGGCTTTCATGTGAATGTGCAAGGGTGGGAATGGGAGACCCAAAGTCACAAGTGTGGGAAGCCCCCAACCACTGGAAGGCAAACAGTGGGGCTTGTCCATGGGATTAGTGAATGTTCCTGGTAGTGTGCAAGGGCAGGAGCTAGGAGCCCCCCACCATGGCCCCAATTCCCCACGGTTACCCCACCCTCGGTGGATGGTGGTTATGTTGGCCACTTGGCCTCCTGCTTGGCAGCACCCCAACATGGGGGGGGGGGTCATCACAGATTCACCAGGGGAATCCTGAGAGGAAGAGGGAAAATGCACAATCAGGAACCAAGGAGTAGGCTGAAGCTGAAGGAGAGGCCCAGGACAAAGGGTACTCAGGGTTAAGAGAGCAAAGCTGGAATTAAAGGGTGCCAGGTAAATAGGACATAGAGCCTGGGGTGGTGCAGGGAGCCCCCTTTCCCCCTGAAGAGGATCTGACCAGCCCCCTGGGGAGATCAGGAAACAGGTCAGAAAGCAGTAATGGACTGGAGGGGAAGACCACCCACCCAGGAAAGGGCCCCTGAAGGTCTGAAGATCTAGGTTGCTTTCCCTCCTCAACCCCCCATTCCATTGGCCCCTGCCCTCACCGGTTCAACTGGAAGGCTGGAGCCCCCTTGGGCTGGGGCATCCCAGGCCGGGGTCCCCCTCGGGGTTCCTCATGGTCAGGGGTGGGGGTAGGTGAGTCCCCAAAGGCCCCCAGCACAGTGACTCCAGCAGGGGACAGGTCTGTCAGTGGTTGCTGGCTCTCCTCTGGCCTCAGGGCACCTTGCTGCCCGGAGGGCCTGCGCCGTTTCTGGCTCCGGTCCCAGCTTGTGCATCAGAAGGAAAGAGGTCCTCTCACACACTTGTGTACCCTCTGTCTTAGGCCAGCATCGCTGGTCAACCCAGCTTCTCTCTCCCTGGAACCCCCAACTTCACCATAGCAAAAAAAAAAAAAAAAAACTGGTTTCTGAGACCATGCACCCCATCAAGCTATTCCTGCCGCTTCCCTCTAAACCATTGGAGAGCCACAGAATAATGCCTCCTCCCTACCAACACAAAGCCCCTTAAAACTATCCCTTGCCACACTGATGTCCAGGGGAGCCATTTCCCTCCTCTGCAGGTACCTGGCAGATTTAGTTCAAGTTCAAAGTCAGCTAATGGCTTGGGCACCTGAATCTAATGACTCTCAGTAAAGTGTGAAGGACTGTGTGACCCATTATTGACTGTGTACAAAGAAAGCTCCCAATTTTCTTCCTCCTGGACAGACGCCCTAAGAAAGGGCTCTGCAGCCCGGTTCAGTTTTTGTCTTGGAGAGCTGCCCACCAAAGCCCCCAGAATAGATAAATAATTCCCCTGCCTCCCACTACCCCTTGTATTTTTCTGGAGGAATCTGTTCGGATTTCTCTCAGTCCTGCTCCACTCCAATTAGCTTTTCTTGAGCTCCTCCCTTCATCAGTGACTTCCCACTCCAATGAAACTTTTGTCCTTGGTCTTGCCCTGTGTCTAGCCGTTACAAACCTTTAGGCAACTCCCTTAGCTTACCAGAACTTGAAGATGATGCCAGTAGCCACAAGAACGATGATGATGGATATGGTAATCGTTACATAAAGCTGAGGGTCCACACCTGGGGAAGAGGGAAGACAGCTGTTGGGAGGCCTGAGGCAGGGTCAAAGTGGGGTGTGGCTTGAGTACTGCCACTCGAATCCACATCGCCCGTCTACTTCTCTGGATTCCCCCTGTTCTTTTTTAATCATCAACTCTCTCCTGGGTTGTCAGCTTTTCCACTTTCCCAAACATTATATGTACCAGATCTTACAAATACATGTGAAGAGGATGAGGCTCCAAGGTCAGAGAGAACCATCCTCCTGGATAGAAATGGGGGTAGAGGTACCAGATGATCTTCCTTGGTCCAACCCTAAGCTACCGTCCAGCACATACCCTGGTAGTGACCTTCCTCCGTGGCATCCCTCTGCCTGGAATACCCCGTTCTGTTTTTAAGCTCTAGCTCACACGTCAGTTGTTTGATCTGTCCTGATCCCCGGGGTGAAGTAGTCTCTCACTTCTCCGTTTTCCTCAAAACATGCTGTACGTGCTTCTGTTAGGCTGTTTGTTTGACTCATCCCCAATTGTCTAAACATCTGTCTTCAGCAGTGGCCCTGAACTCTTTCAGTGCGCACACGGCAGCAGCTCCCCCTCTGCACCCTTGCCAGCCTAGAGCCTGGCATTTTGCTGAAGACACAGACAGCCTCAGCAGCTCCTCGGCTTCAGCCACCCTCCCCATCCTTCACAGCCCTCCCAGCCTTGCTCACCCACCTTCTCCACGCCCTCCAAACAGGAAGGGCCGCAAGGTAGCAGGTGTCTCCCCGAGGATGAGCCCGTCTCCATCATCCCGCATGGAGTCTGAGTTAGGGTGCGGGGTGGCCAGCCCATGTGGGGCTGCAAAACCATAGTCCAGGGGCAGAAATCCAGGATTGACAGAGTTGGGGTCCCCTCCATCCTCCCGAGATACTGTGGGACCCCACACAATAGCCCAAGGGTACTGGGACGAGGGAGGCCCCTCCTCAAAGCCTGACGGGGTGGCAGGAGGTGCAGTTCCTGGCAGAACTTGCCGACGTGATCTTGGGACCCGTGGGGACCGGCTTGGTGGAGGCGCACGCTCCCAAACACACACATGGCGAGGGGCTGAGGGGCCACCTCGGACGCATGGGGGGCGGGCCGGGGCTGGTGGGGACCGAGGGGAGGAGCCCTGAGCAGGCGGTGGGAGGGGTAGCAACAGCAGTGGCCAGAGAGGGAGGAGTTGGGACAGCAGTAGAGCAGGCCTACAGGAAGGGAGAAAAAGTCGGTGAGACCCAGGCCACTATGGATGGGCTCAGGTATGAGAAGGGTAGGCTCACACCAGAAATCCTGGGTACCTCCCTCCAGGTTTCTCTGCTAGAGCAGGCGTGTGTTAGGGAGACCCTGGCCTCGTTTTGTCTAGGGGGCCAGTCGTCAAGAGGCCCAGAGTTGGCCTAGGCAGGAAAGGGCCCAAACCCCCAGGGAAAGTGGTCTCCAAGCTCCCCCTGCTGGGCCAAACTTACCACATTCTGCTCTCGGTATCTGAGGTCTTCCTCAGCTGTGACCCAGATTTTTTGCCTTTACTGGAGGAAAAACGAGGGTGTCACATCCCAAATGCCCCCTGTACTCCCCCAGCTCATCCATCCACCAATTCTGCCCCTTCCTGCCCCACCCCAAGCTGCACAGTTACCAGCCATGCTGCTGCTTCCCAGCATCCCCTGCTTCTTAGCATCCTTTTAGGGGGAAACTCCCTCAAGTAACCCCCAGCCCCACCTACAACATCCCAGATGGGTCCCTGTTACCTCCTGGCCCCGGTATCTGTCTACTCTTGCCTCTCTGGCTTCCTTCCTTCTCACTTCCTCTGCCCACAGCTCCAGGCTTCTTGGATCTTAATTTAGAGCCAAGAACCTTGTGATTCCCTGAGCACCTACCGCTAGGGAGGGAGTATGAGAGTGGGGGAGGGAAGGGAAGTCAATCTCAGTGAGTGTTGGGGGGTGCTAGAAGGCCCCTCACCTCGTGTAGTGCCAGGCATTTCTCTTGCAATGAAGCCTAGAAGCTAGCTGCCTTTAAAAAAAAAAAAAAAAAAATGGGAGAAAATGGTAGGTGGGAGAAAAGCTCCAGAGCATGGTTTCTGCTCCTGAGGTTTAACCACTCAAATGCATAGGTGCATTCTGAAAGAAGGTGGAGCTCGAAGGAAGCCGCCCCCTCAACTGTGGCTCCTCTGGGTAAAGTCCTAGGAGAGTGGAGATGGTTGGAAGTGCACAGTCTCCAAGCTGAGGGTGGTGAACCCTGAGGGGCTGGGATCCGCAGGGAGAAGGGGCATGTGACACTCCGTGTCTTCTAGACTCCTAGTCTATAGCTGCACGTTTGAATACTCCCAGAGAATAAGCTGGGGAAGGGAATGGGGTGGTGGACAATAGGTGTGAGAAGTGAAGGGCTAAGAAGAAAAACATTGGTTCAAGAGTGAGAAGAAAGGTGAACAGTAGCTGGGGAAGGGAGAGGTGGAGCGGGAAGAGGGGCCACAGAAGAATCTCAGAGGGCTCTGAAGAGAGAAGAGGGCAGGATGGGGAGAGTGGGCGGGAGGCTGGAGGGGTCTGGCCAGGACAGAAGCAAAGAGAGTGGAAGGGGAAAGGAATGATGGGGATCAGAGATGAGGAGAAAGTCATTGAGATAGAAAAGAACATGGTGTGGAAGGCAAAATCAGAAAAGGGAGGGACAGGGGCAGGGTGGGGGGAAGCGGCACAGCAAAGATGGAGGAGTTACGAATTGTTTCTTAAAATTTAAAGAGATAAGGAGACAGAGCTGGAGGCCAGGTGAAAGAGAAGGGAAAGGAAAGAGACAAGCCTGGGGGCTTGGTGGGAGAAGGTTAGAGAAGGGAGGAAAGAAATGGTAGCCCAAGCAGTGGAGCGGATAAGGGCTCAGAAGACATCGGTGGCCCGCTACACCAGGACCCGCCTGCCCCTTCGTCCGCCACATCCCCCCCCCCACCAACGTCAACTCCAGCCCTTTTACACACACCGGGTACCCCTTTGTCACCCCTTCCAGGAAGTCCGCAGTCCCCAAGCTGGTGCGCCACCCCACCCCCTTGGCGCTCCTCACGGACCTGTTGTGCGCAGAAGACGAACCGGGAGGGGGGGTGGGAGAACCGGGCCCCATCCCTAGAAGGGAGCCCAATCCCGCCAATCCCACAGGCCTGCGCTCCCTGGACAGGGCTGGAAAGCGGGCGCAAGCCGGGAAAACGAGGAAAAGATCAGCCATGGGAGTCGGAGGGAGCATCCAGAGCGAAAAGGGGACCTGAGGCTGGAGGATGCCCGAAGCTGCAGGATGAGCTCAAGGCGGGATGGAGGCAGCCGCGGAGACGTTGACTGCTGCACCAGGAGGGTAGGATGGAGTCAGGACAGCGGAGGGATGGAGGGCGGCTGGAGTCGGGCGAGAGGCGAAGGGCGCGGAGCTGGCACTGGGGAGGGCAGAGCCTGTTCCCTCCGGATAGGGGCTTTGGGTGCCCCCTCGCTCACCTGCATTCCTGACGTGGCGGCGCGCTGACTGCAGACACTCCGAGCTGCGCGGGGCTTGGGGGTCGCAGAAGCGGGTGGGGCGCCGGGCATGGTCGGGAGCTTTGGCTGGCAGCGAGGCGCTGGATCCGGAGGGGGGCGGGCGCCCGGGGCGCGGGGCGGCGGCGGCGGCGGCGGCGGGAGATGCTCGCTTCGGCAGGGCTCGGCTGGGCTCGGCTGGGCTCGGCTGGGTTCGGTGGACGGCTAGGACCACTTGGTCTCCGCCTCTCCTCCTCACGTCTGTAGGCCACGCATGATTTAACCCTCCGTTTGCCACGCTGCGAGCCTAGCTTTTGTCCCAGGTACAAGGTTGGGGAGGGTGAGTAGGGATGGGAGCCACGACCTCCAGGCACATCCACCTCTGCTCAGCTCCACAGACCCCATGATTTCTGACCCCCAAGCAGTTCTCAGAGTCTAAGGCACCAATGCAATTGAGTCCCTAACTCTGGCCAGGGTGGAAAGGGATGAGAGTTCAAGACCATGGCGGGGAGAGGACCAAGGAGGGCTGGGAGAGAAGGCCGCATAGGCAAATTAGAGTGCCCCAACAGATCAACAGTTCGCTCTGGCCCTGCTATATAATCCATTCTCTCGGAAGCAGCCCAAAAACAGTCCTTAAATGGCTCAAGACCCATTTACTGTGCTTAGCCTTTCCAAAAATCAGACTATCCAAACCACTTTCTGTGGCTTATAAGGAGGCCCTGTAGGTTCCCGCCTCTAAGTATCTAGGTGTTCTCTTTCCTACGGATATCTGTGTCTCAGCCACAGTGTGCTCCTAGAAGTAGGCAACAGGAACCTACCTCAGGGCTTTGCACCTGCTGTTCCTTCTCGAAGCTTTTCCCTGGCCGTTCACAAATGGCCCACGCCAGTCCACTCAGATTCAGTCTTCTGAGATGCCTTCCCTACTCTCTTAAAACCCTCCTGTCCTGGGCCATAGAGATGGCTCAGGGGACAAAGGTGCTTGCCACCAAGCCTGAGTAGCTGAGTTCTATCCCCAGGACCCACAAGGTGGAAGGAAAGAACTGCCTCCTTCAGGTTGTCAACAGATCTCTGAAGGAGCAGTGTGACACACACACTAAATAAATGTAATTTAAAAATTTCCTCTGACCCTACCAATTCATACCTAACCCCTCCCCATTACCCTCAAGCCCCTGCACCGCAAACTTCTAGGAATCACAGTCTGCTAATTCCCCTCCAACCTCCCAGTTGTTCTTGATTAGTCTTCCTCGGCTCTGACCCCTAAGTGTTGGAGCCTCCTAGGGCTTCGTCCTTGGCCTTCTTTTCTTTCCACATTCTTTGTCCAGTGATCTCATCCAGTCCCAGGGCTTAAATACTCTGTAAATGTCAGTGAGTCCTAAATCTATTTCCATAGTGCCAGACTCATTTGTCCAACCGCCCACTTGACATAGCCACTCTGATGTCTAATAGCTGCACAAATCTAACATGACTCAAATAAATGCCTTGAACTGCCCCGCCCCCCAATCCACTTCTGTCCAGTGCTCTTCATACTGGGACATGACAATTGCTCCTTGTTCAAGCTAAAAGGGTTTTGATTTCTGTAAGTGCTGCAGCCTCGGCTCTGAGGGACTGTCCGGAGTCTACCCCTTCATCTTTATTGTTAGGGTCCTGAGCCAAGCTGTCTTCTCGAATCTGGAGTCATTGTAGCTTCTTAGATGCTCCTTCATTTCCTTTTTGTTTTGGTTTGGTTTTTTTAAGACAGGGTTTCTCTGGCTGTCCTGGTACTGACTCTGTAGAACAGGCTGGCTCTCGCAGCTGCCTCCCAAGTGCTGTGATCAAGGGCATGTGCCACCACTGTCTGGCGATGGCCCTTTACTTCTGGCCTCTTGTTTTGCAAACTACTCTTTACAGTTGCCAATGATTTTGAGAATCTAAATCATATCCCTGCTCTTCCCTTTTAAAACATCAGGGTCTGGTGAGATGGCTCAGCAGGTAGCCAAGCCTGACGAGCTGAGTGAGATGCTCAAGACCCACAGGGTGGGAAGAGAGAACCAACTCCCACAAAGTTGTCCTCTGACCTCCATGTACCAGCATGTGCACATGCACTCACTAAATAACAATGCAAAAGCTCCCTTCACACACAGTGCTTCTGCCAAATGAGACTTTCCTGTCAGTCCAGAGCATCAGAAGGCGTTCTCCCAGAATCTCTATACTCCGAGTGCCTCTCCCACCACTTCACTACCATCTCTCTATTTTCACCTGGCTGGCTCTTAACATCCTGCTCTCTGCTTTCCAGGAGCCTCCACTTCATCCATGCTTCATCATCTTTTCCGAGCCATCACTTTCTGACATGGCTTTACATTGGTTTTCTGTTTATTGTCTTCCCCCATACACCGAGAGCAAACGTCTCACTTCTCATCTTCACCCCACATCCTGACTGCAGTGCTTTTCACATGGTAAAAGCCCTGTCCTCATTGCTTGGTGAACACGGTCTGGGAGCAACCCCTGCCCACTCTAAACTCCTTTCATTCTCGCCATTGTGTCCCCTTGCTTTTCCTCTCCATCTGCCTGCATTCCCTCATCTCTGCACTCTGCGGAGCGAGGTTGAGTCTCTGCCCTCACGCACAGCCCTCCTGACCATCCATCCTCCTCCTTCTGTCCTTAGCACTGTCATTACTCTGGCACTCCCGCCTCTAGGAAGGAAGCCTGCTGTGGAGACCCGCATCTGCAGCAGTTACTCTCCTTCTTGCCCGTCCCCGACAGCCTTTCATTCCAAGTCAAAACAGCAGTGAGTCAGTGAGATGCCTTCCCAGTGTCTCCCAGTGGCGAGAGGAAGACAGTGCATATCAGATGAAAAGACAGCTATTGGTCCATGTGAGGGAGCTTGCAGGACTCCTGCTACCTCTGAGGCTTGCTGGGAGCCCAGGATAGGCTCTAGAGGACTCACTGTAACCTGGTGAGGACCACATTTATCAAATGAATGTTCACTCAGTAAAATAATGCCTTCTACATGAAGCTTTGTATTGTGATCAATTATTTTTTAATATTTTTTTATTCTTTTCAACAAATGTTTATATGAGAGAGAGTCTCATATGGCCTGGCCTGCCCTTGGATTCACTATGTAGCTGAGGGTAAATTTGAACTCCTGAGCTTCTGTTTCCATTTTCTTAAGTGCTGAGGATTACAGAAATGCAGCCCCACACCCAGGCATCAGCAAATATTTTTAAAATGTTAACTACAAGCCGGGTAGGGCACTGGACCAGGGCATACAGTGAAGAGCAAGAGCAAAGTCACCAGAATCTTTACACTTTTTAGTAAGAGAGACAGTGAGCCATCAGGCAATAGGCTCAGGGTGTGAGTCACTGGTGGGGCACGTGCTTAGCATGTGCAAGGCTCTGCTATCTCTATTACTGTTGCTGTACTCGGTGTGCCCAGTATTTCTCTGGGTGACTTTCTGTCTCTTTTGTTTGTGTCACGGGCTGACATTGAACTTGCAATACTCCTACCCCAGCATCCTGAGTACTGGTATTATAGGAGCGCATCACCATAGCTAGGAATATTTCCATGCTGTCCTTTAAAAAAAAAAAAAAATGTGTGTCCTTGTGCTCCCCATGCATGTGTAGAGGTCAGAGGACAGGTTTAGGAAGTGGCATCTCTCTTTCCCATCGTGTGGGTCCCAGGCCAGGGTTCAAACTCAGGTCATTGGGCTTAGTGACAGGTGCCCTTACCCACTGAGCCACCTAGCTGGCTCCACATTTCCCAGGCTTTCCTTCCTTAAATGCCCAAATCTCTTTCTCTCTGTGTCTGTCTCTGTGTCTCTCTGTCTGTCTCTCTCCCTCTCTGTCCCTCTCTCTCAGAGCTGATGGTCTTGCTGCCTTATCAAGAAAACGGGAGATTATCATTCTTACCACCTCCATCTTCCTGCACCACTGCCCCTTTGATGGACCCTGTCACCACCCAGTGCTGTCATTGCAGCAACTGTCCCTCCCTTCCCTGGCCTGAAGCCTCCCTGGCCTCCTCTCTACTTGATTATTACCATCAGTGTGCAAGCATGTTGAATCTTCGTGAGACATATCCTCCTTGGCTGCCTTTCTCTGCTTTCTCTGAGAAAGCCGTCATGGGAGGGGAAGCCTCTACTCACCAGCTTCTCTGCCTCTCCCCCCCCCCCCCCTTACTCTTATACAAACTCATATCTATAGGTTTTACGTTTGTAATTCACGATCTGTTGTTTCTGAGATAGAGACTCACTACGTAGCCCTGGCTGGCCTGGAACCCCCTGTGTAGACCCCAGTGGCCTCCAATCTGCGACGATCTTCCTGCCTCTGCCTCATGTGCTCTGGGATTATAGGCAAGAGCCAGCATTCCCCACTCTGAATTCATATTCTTTGTAAAATCAGGTTACAAAATAGCAGGCTTCTTCATGGCATTTTCACATAAGCTTCATTTTGGTTTAGGCTCCTTTCACTTGCCTGCCTCTTCTTGCCCCTCTGTACCTTTCTGCCCCCTTCTACTTTCATATCTCATGTGTCCTGTTATTCTACCCTCCCCCTCACTTAAAGCCTGTTTACTTTCTGTTTTATGGACCTTTTCTGGTTTCCTAGCATTTACCCACATTTACTCCCACTACATGCATTTATTTGACAATTAGCAGCCAGAATCCCCATCTGAGAGAGAACATGCAGTGTCTATCTTTCTGAGCCAGAGTTATCACAATTAATGTCATCTTTACCAGCTCCCATGATTACCCTGTGAACTTCATGCTTTCATTTC